GGGACAGTCAAGAAGATGAAGATGGTGTGCATGGTGGCTTAGGTTTGGAAGGGATCTCCATTTTCCCAGCCGCCCCAAGCAGGGACATGGCCAAGTAGATGACAAAGCACCAGAATGCCAAAGGAACGTGGTACACAAAGGGGGACTGAATGGACCAAACAAGGCTCACTGAGCAATTTCTTGCACTTGCCGGAAATTTTTTCCCCCCAAAAGGCAGCTCTGGACTTCAGTTTCTCTGCATATGTAAGGAGAGAGTTGGCCAGGAGACGCTCCTGTTTTTTGGGCTCCTTCATGAGGGATCCAGCCCCTGCCCTATACAGTGCTCCAAGAGGGATTCCCAGGAACACAGAAAGTAGCCTCATCTCTGACCATTAGTCCTGACCGCCCAGAGTCTGTGGGTAGCTCCGCCCTCTCCTGGCTAAACCAGATGCTCTCACCTTTCTGGAAGGTCTGAAGGAGAGTTAGGCTCATCCTTGATTCCTTTATTCAGAAGTATACACAGGGATAAGGACTGAGGTTCTTGGGCCCATCCTGGGCTTCCCCTTCCCGGATCCACCTCTACCCCCATCCCGTGCTCTTGTCCAGTGAAGCTGCATTTCCCAAGCTTGTTTGTGCTGAAGGAGAAATGTGGCCACATCCCCATGGCGAGGAGGAGCCTGGTGCTCGGTCCCCTGCCCCAGAAAGCTCCCTGGCCCCTGCTTCTTCCATAGAGCCCAGAGAGGGAGAGTCTCCAATTTCCAAGGATAACCTGGCAGCCTTTGTCCCATTCCTTTGTGCCTCAAGCCCTGAGTCAAGTGTGGGTTCTCCCTCATTCATGACAATCACGGAAGGGCTGGCCTGGCTACTCCATGGCCATACACCTTTATCCCAGAAAAGAAAGGCAGGCCTAGGGCATCATTGTTGCTGTGTTTCCTTCTACTTCACAGGAGTATAGACAAAGAGTGCTAGCTTTGCACTTGGCCCTGGCCCTGGCCCTTCCTACTGCTTCCCAGGCAGACCAGTGCTAAAGGTAACCCCAGCCAAGTGTGAGTGAGGCCCAGGAATGGCATCTTATAGAGTCCAGGGACTTTGCCATCTTTCCCATTGGTGACCATTTTCAAACCCAGAACTGCTGTCCAAGTTTTGCCCCTAGTACAGGTACCTCCAGCCTGTCCTTCAGCTGCAGGGTTGGGGAACTGAACACTGTTGCCTTGAGACAGCCTCATCTTCAACTACACCAGATAACGGCTGTGGCTTTGTGTGTGTGTGTGTGTTTTCTTTCTCTTTCGTTGTCCTTTCTCCCTCTCTCTCTCTCTCTGATGCGTGTAAAGGAGAGGACTAGAAGGAACGGTTCCCACCTCTCGGAGGACAACGGACCCAAAGCGATCGATGTGATGGCACCCTCCTCAGAGT